TTCCAGCCACTTCTTGCTCATCCAGTCTCATCAACATAATGTCATTAATGTAATAGATCCATGTTCTTTAGGATTAGGTAGAAGAGTTAACAAAGCCCTGGGGCACAGCAACGAGTGTATATGGTCCAGTCCATGTAAATGCAAACTGTTTCTTATGCCCTTTTCTGAATGGAATAGAGAAGAATGCATTTGCAAAATCAAAGGCTACATTCTACGTACATAAAAAAACGAAAAAAACAAACCCATCGCCTTTGAGTTTACTCCGCTCGACCCTAATTTGGTTAGAAGCCCAACACTTAACCACTGTGCCACCATGCCTACGTACATAGGGCCATATCTGCTTTAACAAAAATACCATCTCGACATAGCAGTTGTAATCAGGGCTACTACTTGGTTGAGCTTATAGTTATCTACAGTGACTTTCCACGACTCATCCTATTTCTGCAGAAGCCAGACTAGTGAATTAACATAGGTGTGATGGGACCACCATTCCTGCGTCCTTTAGATCTACCATCACTGCAGGCTATATTGCTTTTTATTTACTATCTTGGCTGGGGTAAAGAAGGGGTGAAGGGGCAGGCAGTTTCAGAGGCTTTCACTTGGCCTTCCTCACTAAGATAGTTCTCATTATCCTGCAATCCAAGGATCCAGTGTCTACTTCATAGACACAGGTAGTCCCTGACTTATGACGGGGTTCTGTTCCATCAGCTCCATCATAAGTTGGTTCTGACATATAACAGTCTGGCAGATTTTTTTTTTTTTTTTTAGTTTTCATTATTATTGCCTTTTATTATCAGTATCTTTATAAATCCAATCTTTGAACATCTGTGAGAGAACATCTGAGAATATCAGCAAATTATGCACTGCAACATAGTATGTAGTATATATTACTAACGATAAGATGTACCAATGAGTACAGCTCATCAGAACTCCTAAGTCAGACTACCTGTATACATGTAAGTAGTTGATGTTTACATATATATATAACACACAAACACACACACACTTGGGGACCTGGGATATGGCCACCAGGTTGGTCCACAGACTCAGTGAAACCACTGTGAGCAGAAGCTTGGCCAGGACGCCCAAATCCTCCCTCACTCTGACAGGGAGCCACAATAAGAGTTCTTGTCTCTGGGTATTGATGTCAACTCAGACTCTGCCCAACAGCCCTTAAAATACCTTGTATTTCCTCTTTCCCCATGGCAGAATTACCCAAGTAAATGGCTGTAAGTCCCTTTGGGGAAGCACTAGGGGAATTACCATGTATAGATGCCATTATATTGCAGTCTTTCTTCCTGGGACCCAGCTACCTCTTCAGTGAGTTCCAGGTCTGAAAAGTGACTTGGGTCCAAGAACTAAGCAAGAGATGGTGACTTTTTATTGGGATGGCCACCCTCAGCCTCCAAGTCACTCATTCTTGATTTTATGTAACGGCACAAGCCCAGTAGTACTCTCGTTAAGTGCCATTTTGTCCCTAAGAGTGCTGTGTTCTATTAACCTCCAAAACTCTCTGCAGGTCAGGGCCCTTTGGCCATCAATTTCACCTTAACAGTCATTAGGATAGCTGTGATCCCCAGACTTTTGGCAGTTAAGAACCATTACTCGGCTACTATTGCTTCAGGGTCTTATCACCCCCTCTGCCATCAGCAAGCTGAGGTGCTTAATAGTTGTTGTACTACCAGCACTGGCCTACAGAGGACCTCTGCTAAACTTTTTAGTGATGCTTGCGCTCCTGTCATCAGCTCATGTCCTTATGGCCTTGTTAGATGGTGTACCCTTATGTGGAACATAATTATCTAATGGATCTTCCAGCAAAGTCTCTCCATTCCAGCACACCTACTTCCCTCAACTTTTTTAATCCCTTCCTCTACTATCTGCCACAATCCTGGCAGTTCAGCTTTGCTCAGGATGGGCCATTGCTTTTTCCATGCTTCTAGAAACTATCCTGATAGTGATTTCATACCATCTGCTAGGATCCTTGCCAGGGTGTTAAATCCTATAACTTGAGATAGCTCTTACCCTGCAATCCAAGGATCCAGGATGGGGACTAACATCAAACTCTCCCCTAATTTTATGTTCTGGCCCTCTTGATCAATCACCCTCAGATTCCAGTCCCAAGCATAGTCCTCGAGCTCCTGCCAGTACATGATGGCTAATTCTTGAAGCTTCTCTGAGGTACAGTCTGCTTCTTCCCTCTTTCAGTCTAGCACCACCTCAGCTGAGTTTTGCTTAACCCTAACTATAATTGCATAAACTTAATTTTAGGTGTGGTGGCCAGGATGCAGGTCAGGTCCTGAGGATGGCTCATGTTGCCTGGGGGAAAGAGGCCTCGGCACTGTCTTCCAGCTTGGAGGCACAGTTGGGAGTGATTGCCCTGAATACGAAGGTATGACTATGACTGCAGGCTCAGAAAGTCAGGAGTCTGGGCAGTAAAAATCTTCAGGGGCATCACTCAGATATCTACCTCCATCTACTTGCCAGGGTCCCAGGTTTTCCCAAACAGTGCCCTAACCTTGGCAAAGCGGATCCACCTTGGTTGGCAACTGTCTGGTTTATCCATTCAGACTACTAAGTCCTGGGCCTCAGTTTTCTCAGCTCTCCTGCTGCAAGAGATGTGAGATGTAAGCTTTTTTTTATGCAACCAGCTGCTCTCTGGCTTTCACACCTGGCTTTCCATTGCCTGTTACTGCCCTCAGCTGTTCATTATCTTTCTGTAGAACAACAGCGTCTTAGCAGTAGCCATCCAACACTGTATCCTCATAGCTACAATTTTCTCCATACATCTCAAATGCCACCCAGCCTGCTAATGCATTCCTTTTTACTACTACACCATCCCAATTCACTGCCAATGCAAGTGATAACAGCTGGACCTTGTGCCAGGGACTGTCTATTCTTCCCCTAACATCCACGATGGGGTCTGGGCAACACATCTTGTGCCTACCAACTATTAATCTCTGCTTCCTCTTTGGTATATTAGGCAAAAAAATGAAGTAGATGATACAAACAAATCTGAATGCTTTCCAAAATAAGTTTTAAAAATTGAGAATAAGAAGTTAAAACATCAAAAGTATGTAAGTGAAATACGAGATTTATTCAAAGAAAAATGAAATTTCCTGGGTAAAGCATCTGTATAATACTATTCTTGAATTTGTGTCACTGAAAAATGGCTGAGTAGTCACCTTTGTCTATACATTTAGGCATTAACAATAGGTACTGTTCTGGACATATACTGTGAAGAAAAAGATAAATGTAAGTTAACCACTAAAACATACATATCATGACTACTTAACATGAATATTTAATGAAGATTTAGAATATAACAACATGTGACTTTTATTCTGTGGACATAAAAGGAAAAATGCAGTATTCATTTTACCCATTACATTTTACAAAATCAGACAGAGTGAACTGATGAGCAGTTTTTTAATAAAAATCGCAATTTAATTTTGAATATATTACCATCCTATTCCTTTATCCTGTATATGAATCTAATTGGCAAAACCTACTAGATTACTGAAATCAATACTAATCCAATCCATGATGTTTCAGTTGCTTGGATCAATAAAAACCTTCCATCTGAAACTCATTTTTTCGTATAAGCCTGAATATGAGTTGCTATAAAAATGGTTATGCCCCACTCCTTGCCCCATGAAGCATGACTAGAACCTTTTGCACAAGGCTAAGTGACGGGACTTTGGAACATCCCCACATGACTCATCAAGCACACACACCCCTGCTCCTCTGACACCGGCCGCCAAAAGGCAAGCAGCTCTCCTAGTTCTCTTGTTCCTCATAGTGAGCATAGCCACTGGCGTAGGTTCTTCCTAAATTCAAATTAGTAAACAAATCTGATGACTCAGTATCTGAATCCTTTCCGCCTTCATCTTCTTCCTCCTCCTCATCTTCTGCTTCATACTCATCTTCCTCCTCATCCTGGTAGCTGGTATCACCATACTTGTTAGATGAAAGGTTCTTCCAATAGGCGTCATACCCAGAAGCTTCATCACCCTCATCACCTCCAGTCTGCCTGCCAAATTTCAGGGAGCGTGCTACAAAAGACAGATAGATAGGAATTTGGCACTTTCTTAAATCCATTTCCCTATATCCTCATTTTCCTCTACCATATATAAAACTACATGTACTTCACTGACTTGCTTCTTATTCTCAAATGAAAACCCAGGCCATATTTTCCTGATTTCCTCATTTAACATTTAATTTGAAAAAAAGGAGACTTTAAAAACAACATTCTGTTCTATCCTTCTAGTCAGGGTCTATACACACACCATAACAAATAATAAAGATTACAGTGTCGTTTCATTAAATCTAGAAAAAGCTGAAAAACAAAATTAGAACAACAGCACTCTCCAAAGATGTTAAATAAGGCATGTTAAAAAATAAAATGTCTCTCGTTTGGTCCATTAAAAGTGTATTTTCAAATCACATAAATCACACAACACAGTTGATTTCATGTCACTACATTTTTCTTAAGACAGATGTTTAAACAATTCAGATGCTCTGGAAAACAAAGCTTTTCATACCTTCTGCCCTTACTAGCAACACAAAGTTCAGCGCTAAAGGCCAGCAAAAGCATCAGATGCTCCCCATCATAAAACTATATCTTTGATTAAACTAAGTACTGTCAGAGCTGCTTAGAATTATGGTTCTATTCTGATATAGTAAGTAAAGAGTCAAATTTCTCTTTAACAGATTTGTGAGCTACATTACTATAAGCCTGTTTGTAGCAGTCTTATTCCTTCATAAAGAAAAATCACATAAAAATCATAAAACAATTTCGTATAGTAGTGACATTACATAATAAGCATAACTGTTCAAATACTGCACATCTAAGAATAGTATCAGAATGAATTCTAACTTCCAGGTACTAAAGATTACCAGCACTTGAATATTAAGGATTTTAGCTACTCAATTATTTAACATGGAAAAAGCAAAAAAAAAACCCATTGCCGTCGAGATGATTCTGATCCATGGAAGCCATCAGCAAGAACAGAAAAATCATCTTTTTTGTCTTAAATTTCAGTATTCACTATGTCATTAACCAAGGAAAAGCCAAATTATCAAAGCAAACATAAGTACATTTCTTAAGTCAAATTGAGAAATTTTACCCACGTATTTTCCAAGACTGTTAAATTCCATTTGCTCAAGAGAACATAATTATTTTTCCAAATATGAAGAGGAGGCAAAAAGGAAAACAGAAAAACAACCTTGTCTAAGCTTGAAAGTCAAATCACTGCACTGGTATTTTAAGAAGACACTTACTTGACATGCTAAGATCTTTAGTCTCCTGAGTTTCGTGTCCACATTTAGGGCAGGGAGGCTGTTTTCCTTTTTCCTGCTTAAATACCTTGCTCCTTGTATGCTCATCACAGAAACAAGCCTATACAGGAGAAGTAAAAGTATGTAAATAAAAAAGTAAATACTTAAAAAGATATCATTCAGTATTCCAAGGAAATTTAAACATGTAGTTTTGTTAGGGCAGAAAGATTATAAGAGTTTAGTTGCAACTAACTCCTGATACCACACTCCTGATTTCAATTTCTTAAGGGAAATGGTCTTTCCAAGACTCAATACCTAACAAAAGGCAGAGACTGACTGTAAACAGGGTATATTATGGATTGATCTGTGTTCCCACAAGACATATGTTAAAATCCTAACCCCTATACCTATAAATGTGACCCTGTTTGGAAACAAGGGTTTTCTGGTTAATGGGACCATACCTGAGTAGGGTGGTGGGTTCTAATCCTAATCTCTTCTGATGGTGTTTTGTAAGAAGGGGAAACAGACAAAGACACACACACAGGGAGAAGAGACATTGTGAAGAACTGTCTACAAGCAACACTAAGGAACTCCCGGAGCTACTGACAAGAAGGGATCTTCCCCTAGTGCCAATGCCCCAATTTGGATTTCTAGCCTCCAAAACTGTGAGACAATAAATTCCTCTTCTTTAAAGCCTTGTGGTTTTTTGTTTTGTTTTGTTTTTCCTGGCAGCACTAGGTAAGTAAGACAGGGTATGATATGCAGACACATTCATTCTTCCAAAAATACTTGAGTATTCATGAGGTCACTGATGATATAATGAGCAGGCGACCTACTCTCTCAGAGTATACAGTGTAACTGAGGACAGAAACAAGTGGAGAAGAAATTACAAGACACTATGCTTTGAAAGGGAAGTGCAGAGGAGGGGCCCTAAGCCAGACATGGGATTCAGCAAAGGTTTCTTGGGAGACAGGAAATCTTATTAGCTGAAATGTGAACGAGAATGGAGATGCAGTGAGGTAAGCACAGATAGAAGAGTTGTCTAGGAAAAGGAAACAACATATACAAAGCTTGAAGGCTTGAGAGCATGAATACCTTAAACAAAATGAAAGCCATATGTTAAAACTGGAGCAGGGATGGGAGAGAGATGAAAGGTAGAGTTAGTAACAGAAGGAAGAACCAGAGAATGTTTTTGAGAGGTAGTGGCTTGACTGTTGTCTGTTTAGCGACCTTTGACAAGCAGAAATGAAGGCAATAAGTTCTAAAAAAAAACAGAACACTGTGGAAATGTTCACTTAAGCCAAATTCTTCTAAGCAGGTGCATTTTGACATTAATTAAAATACACTCCCATCATTTTGAACAGAATGTTCTCCATACACATAAAGTGTAAAAAATGCTGGACCAGGATTCAGCAGACATGTGTGCTAGCATCAACTCTACTAGAAACCAACCGTATTACCTTTGGAAAGTCACTTAAGTGTTCTCAATCTCAATTCCACAGTCTCTAAAATAAAAGAATTAAGCTAGATAGTTTTAAAGATCTCTTGAAGACTTCATTGTAGCTATAAATAAACCAAAGACTAGCAGAGAAGTATAGGGATTAAAAAACAAAAAACACAACTATACCTTACAACGTAGACAAGAATGCTGGCCAAGCCGATTGCATGAAACACCTACGGGAGAAAGTACAAAATACTCACATTCAAACTTGGAATGAAAATGCTATTTTCCACAAATTTATACCTGGTGTAGTGTCTCAGACCAATTAACATTTTCTGTTTTATAATACAACCTAGAGAATACATAAAAATGGGATGGAATCCCCGGCCAGAAGAAAGGATGCCAACAACTGGACCATCTAGCCTTCTTTCACTATCACAGCTCTAATTATTCTCAAAGTTCCTTTTATTTCTCCAGATCTAGGAAATGGCAAACACTATTTTTAGAAAGTTGAAATGGCAAAACATCATTTTCTCCATGACACTAGCTGAAGCCCTTCTCCTAATCATATAGTAGTTGAAATTTTAAAAAGATTAATTGTCCTCATATATTTTCTCCTAGTGGCACAGGCTATTGTCACTTTCTGCATGACTTCTAATAAAGAAAGGTAAAAATGGGTGACTATGAAGAGAAAGAAATGTTCAAGTGGGCAGGAAAACAGATGAAAAAAAAAACCAAAATATTTTATCCCTGTTAGTTAGTAAGCCACACTAATACTGGTCATCTAGAATTGATGAATAGCAAAGTTAAATGCAAATATATTAAGAAGTATATGCAAAAATATGGAAGGAAAAAAAAAAGTAACTAAAGAAAAGGAAAGAGGAAATAAACTAAACGTTACCCTGATGAGATCTGAATTTAAATCACTGCCTTTCAATTCACTTCGAGGTCTTAAAAAAATAAAAAGGAGTTCTACCCCTATAATTGAAACATTTGACCAGATGTGTCTAGTTTGGGAATTCTTTTTTTCAAGCTTGTGTGGTTCATGGGGAGCCCGTTCAATCTGAACAGGCAAGTTTTTTGTTTTTTTTTTTTAACTCAAAGATGATGTTCTCAATGATGTGAATAGTTACTGCTTCTGCTTAACTGTTCTTCTTTCTCCCACAGTACTTCCAATAATTCAGTTGAATTTGTATTATCTGTCCTCCATGCTAATAATAAAAGTCAAAAATCAAGTACTTGCTATATCTTAGGCATGCATAAGTATACCAAATGACTCCAATAATAATTACATTATTTTGGCCTGTGGGGAGAAAAATCTGAAATCTAAATCATTTTTACTTTAAGACATGCCTAGAGTTTTTAGGGCCACCTACTTGCCTCTTAGGTTCAAATGCTATAAAACATGATAAGCTCCTATGTCCCAGAAAAGAAAGGACTTATCTAGCCAAACTTTTCAAGATCTTCTTTTAAACACACATCCAGACACATATTAAAGTACAAAGCTCCCAATCCAATTTCCCACTATTTACCAGACGCTTCTAAAACAGAATTATCATCCTAACACAGACTGATACATAGCCTGGATCATGACATGCCAATAAGACACAATCCCAGGAAATTTGTCGTTGCCTGTCCACCCTCACCTTTACTTCTGAGGACTCCACGTCTAGCATGCAACATAGAACTGTCAGTCTTCTTCCCCTAATTACCACAATCCCACACACAGGCACTCCACTTTATGCTCCATTTTTTAATTCCAAAAGTTAAAATCTTCAATTAGACTTGTATCAAGAATGGATTTCTCCCAGATTGTGAAAATAGTATGACTTTCCTAGTTTTAGATTGTGCGTGTGTGTGCGCGTTTTTTAATCTATTTTTATGTCCTCAGGGTATTTTAAAAGAAAGCAGGCTGGGAGGCATCAAAGCCTGCTGACAACAAGCCATTTTAAATTAGAAGTCCCCAGGTCATTTTAATCATTTAAAAAGACAAAAGCAGAGTACTAACACGTGGTTTTTTTCCTTAGAACAGCGTTCCAGTGATTACGCAGGTAAATATATATTTTAAAGAATTTCTGAATCTCCCAATCCACAGCTGTAAGGGCAAGTCCATAAATTATAAAATATAACCAATTAGGGGATGGGAACCACTCTAACTGTGGGGTTTATGTGCATTATTAGGGCAGTATTTCAGAGAAAACATTTCAAGCACCCAATAACAACTGGTGAAAGAAGAATGCCCAAGAAAAGATAAAGCAAGGAAAAAAAAAGGAAAGAACAAGGATAAATTATAGCAAGTGCCCTGTGAATCTGCAACAAGAATGACTTTAACAATGACATGGTGATAACAGATTCATCTTAAAATATTGTGATTATTCAGTTTTTGTATTTTTCCTGTGCCTGTCACTGAATCACAATAAGCTCTGAATGGAATGACAGCCTTATCACTCCTAGTCGCCTCTTAGGTTCAAAGGCTATAAAACATGATAAGCTCCTATGTCCCAGATACGTTTCGTTTTTATATTACACATTCTACAGAATTCTATGCTATGTAGTTTGAGACTCTCCTATAATCTTTCAGAATTTCTACACAAATACTGCAAGAATTATATATACTTATCTTAGCAAACTGATGACTTAGTCAACTTTAAACTCATAGATGGGTATAAAGATTAGCAGCACTTCATACAAAAACAAGAATCAAATTAAACAAAAGGACTATCTAGGGAATTTATCTTTTTCCTGTAATGGTATCCACTATTTAATAAAGGCCTTCCAAGTGTCAGGAGGAGGAGCCCTAGTGGCACAGTGGTTAAGTGCTCTGGCCACTAACCGAACAAAAGGTTGGCAGTTCGAACCCACCAGCCACTCTGTGGGAGAAAGATGTGGCAGTCTGCTCCCGTAAAGATTTACAGCCTTGGAAACCCCATGGGGCAGCTCTACTCAGTCCTATAGGGTCACTGGGTCAGAATCCACTCCAAGCGCAATGGGTTTGGTTTGGTTTTGGTTTAAGTGCCAGGTACCACACTAGATGCTTTATATGTATTATCATTTAAATTAACCCTTTGGGGAAGAAATTAGCATCTTCTTATAGATAAGGAAACTGAGGTTTAGAAAAAGTCAGTAATTTGCCCAAGATCAATACAGCTAATAAGCAGAATTCGAGTAATGATTGACTCTAAAACTTGATCTTCTGAGACTCAATGCAGTAGAAACCAAATGCTATCTATTCACAAGGATGATACCATTGGCCCAGTGAGTAGCACTGGTTTGCAACTGGGAGGAGTTAACTGTAGAAGTTAAATACAGATGCCTAGTACCTTCCACAGAGTTAAATGCAAAATCTCCAGGAGTGAGGTCTGGACACCTGTATTTTTTTAAAAAACTTCCACAGGTATTTCTGAAGCATATTCCTGTTTAAGAATCACTGGAACCGACGGGGGGTAAAATCACTTAGCTGGAGGCATCTGGAAATATGTATGTGGGGGGGAGGGGAAGGAAAAAGGGTTTGGTTGTTATAAAAACTGGGAGGTGAAAATGACATTTAGGACTCAGGACCAGGAATGTTACAAGTCCTGCAATGCCTGCTCCATTCCATAAAACAAAGAATCGTCCCAACCAGAAGGCCACTGGCACCCCTGTTGAGAAACAAGACTATGTGTTCCGAATTTTTTCGAGAGGAAAATAGATATTGATTCAAATTCCATTTCCAGAGGCTGCATGAAAAACTAGGTACCTTTCTCATGAAGTTTGATACGTTTACTCTTAAGAATCTAAAAACTTACATTTAAATGTTTCTGCCTCTAAAACCTGGCAGCTGGCTTGATGCTCAAACTGATCATCTTCACAGAGAAAGTTATGACAAAAAGAACAACTGAATATTCTGCCGCCTATTGGATGAAAAAAGAAAAACACAAATGTAAACATGATAAACTTCTATTTTAAAAAAAAACTCGTATCTGTAAAACTGCTTGGAAAAGATGGGAAGTTCAGAGGTACACCCAAATGGCACAGCACTTTTTGTTCTGGTTAAAGCTAAAATGAAAACTGCCAGAGCATTTGAAATTGAACATTAAAAAAGTGAATTCCCACTATCTCCTGGCTACTTAGATACTCAAAGAGAATACCTGCTCCTGTACAACTTCCCTCCCTACCTGCTAAGGTTAGCAATACTAGCAAGGACTATTACTGCTGGTATAAATCCTTTTCCAAATAAACTGATAACCAAATGAAGATACCAGAAGTTAGGATTAACAGTAAACATAATCCTGAAAAAAAATCTTAAAAATAGCATTCATAATGTTGAAAAGTCAGCCTTCACCTATAACAAAGCAGAGTGGCTGAGTTCACTGCTCATATCTAGTCACTCACCATGGTCCCACACACCCCGTTCACACTCAACACACTCGGCATCAGTGAGAGGGCAGGCACAGGCATGTGTGCTGAGACACTTCCTTCCATGGCAAACCCAGGCTTCACAAAAGTCACATATTGCACCCTGTAAGCCAAGAACAAAAAAAAAATTCACCTTCGGCCAGCTAAAACCACCATTTAACCAATGGCAACCATCAAAATTTTATGCATTTAGCAGTTTATCTACCCTCAGCGACGGTCAGTGGCTTCATTAAAGACTTTACTATGCACTTTAAACCAAAATTAAAGAGGGTTCTCTGAAAAATAAACTACTTCATCAGCAGCTACCTACAATATACAAACCTCAGCTATAAACCAAAAGAAAGAGAAGCTAAAAGAAAATGAGACATTACCCTAATGTTATTTATTAAAGTAAGTCAAGGAACTGAAGTGTTGCCCTCAAAATGAATTCTGATTCAAATGAACTTTGAAGCCTACAGTTTCAACACTCTTATTCACAGCACTTCCCATGGTAGCTATGAGTCAGAATTGACTCTACGCAGTGGGTTTGGTTTTTGGTTTTTATAACACCTTTTTCAAATTCCAACATTTCTGACAAGAAATTTCCTTATCTGTGCAATTTATAAAATAATCACATAGCTTTCCTAGGATAATTGAGAAAAATTACTAACCTTCTGCCAGCTTTTTTCTCCCCCTTTAAGGCAACTTAACACTTTAAATCATTATTATATTTCTCTGTGGAAAAAATTAAAATACATGAACTAAACTACAGATTAAGACTCTCCAATCCTATATTAAGAATAGATAGTAAAAACATCCCTTTTAATAACACAATGACACCTATAGAATACTAAGAGCTAATACGGAGTTCCTTAAGGGAGTGGGACTAGATGGTCACTCCTTTACAAATGAGGAACACAAGGCCCTAGACTAAGTCCGAGATTTAAGTCCAGATCTTCTGAATCTCAATTCAGTATTCTACTCAAGGCACTGTAACAAAAGTAGTAAAGAGCAAGAAGGTACAAGAAGGAAGAATTTTTTTTTTGTTTTGACTTGTAAAAATGGACTATCAGTATAAATGTCAAATTCTAAAATCTATCTCTGAAATCAGTCAGGGTCCTAGCAAGAAAGAGACGGCACAGAAGCTGGGTGATCAAGAAGAGCTTAAGAGAAACTTTGCAAAGCAACAGGGCAGGGTTTAGGAGAAACATCAGAGGATGGTGCGGTTAGCAGTCCGAGGGCTGAAGGGAGAAGAGGGGGAGGAGTGGCTAGCACAGCCCTAAGGGAGAGCTGTATGGAGAGGACTCCTGACAGGGGTCGTAGCCTTCAGAGGAAGGACACCAAACCAGGACAACCCTGCAGAGAGTGAGCTGGGGGAATAACACCCAGATCTTATTCTCCTCCCATTCTCAGGTGTCCTGCTGGTTGGTGCCTGACATTGGCCAAACCCAGTCAGAAGGCCACAGGGTGAGAAGGTCATTGATCTAGTCCATGTAAGTCAAGCTGCCAGGCAAAGCGGAGTGGAGAAGTGTGAAAAGAAAGGAAATCTAGGGAGGCAAACAAAAGACATCTAGATCACTTTTCTAGGGTTTATAGCCAATAATGTATGATCTTGCTAATATGTTTTCTCTATGTAAGATCATTCACATTGACACAACTCCGTAAAATTTAAAAAAAGAGAAGAAAACTGATAAATTTTAGACATAAGTAAGCTACCAAGGAAGATTGCAAGGGTTTTTGAATAAAGACAGCATTGACAACCCTATATTTAAAATAAAGCAAGAGGAATTCAAAAGATGATTATAAATAATTCTGGCTCCTTGCATCTATAAAATATATCATACAAAGGTCTGCCTCATTATAGAAAATTATACATCTTGGAAAGTTACTATAAATAAAATATTCTCCTTGACATAAAAACAGTATTACTTTACTCAGATACTAAAATTTGGAACTGGAACATAGTCACACAACAGAATACAGTGAAACTTATTAAATCATATGTAAAGGGAAAACATTTTCTAGCGAAAAAGAGAGAAAAAGCATCACACAACCCAACTGTTTTCAGTTATCTAAAACACTGAGTCTCCTTACAAAATCACTCATATAATGAAAAGGTTATGTATAACTGTGCTAAGTACATACTCCTTTTTAAAATGTAAAGCTTTAAAAAAAACTTAACACTAAAGTTCTTTTGGAACTACCGTGGGTATTTAACCAAGGCTTGAACCTTGGTAAAGCAGAGCTTTCGGTGTAGGAGATGCCTAACAACGATGCTTTTTGAAGTTTAATTAACACACATGAGAAAGGTACTATGAACAGAATGAAAGTTTTTGTTGAGGTCAACATTAAAATAAGCTTCCATTCTTTATACATTTGCCAGTAAGAAAGATGGAAGCAGCCAGAAACAAGTGAGTAATAAAGGCAGACCATACAAAGAGCATGCCAGCTAATCCAGATAACCGCAGGCTGATGAAACAAGGAAAAAAGGACTGCTATTTGGAAAAAATCACCATTGGTCAGAATGGCTTTTTCTTAGCTTTGGAAACCTACTAGTCTAAGACATAATGACAAGAAGCTTACCACCATTGCAAGGCCAGTACTGTAAACACCAGCATGCTTTATGACACAGTCTGAAGATTTCATCATACACTTTGTTTTCCCTTTGAATGAAAAAATTTTGCATTAGTCTTACAAAGCAGTGAGGACAAGTATTCACCAACTCCTCTTTGTATCTAGCCCAAGATAAACCATCATTGGAAATAATTTGAAAATAAATAGAACGAAATTAGCAAGGGTTACTGTTTACATAAATAAAAAAAGAAAAAGGATATAACTGAAATCTGATTACATGAGTCAGATCTTTTAAGATTATAAAATTATTAAGAAATCTAATAAAATGTATTACAAAATAATTTATATGCTACTTCAGGTTGTACTAAAACAAGAAATTGACAGATTATGCTTTGTAATCTAAAGATCATTTACAGCAGTTAAAAATCTTGTGAATTTTCAGATGAAACTAAACAGATTTTTAAAAAGCCAGGCTAAAAGTAAATTTTACATTTTATAATCTACAATAGACAGCTTGGTTTAAAGTTATTGCTTATTTCTTTTCACAGAATATCTCAAACCAAATGAAATCAAATAATGATTATGCAACTTATCTGGATTTTTTTTTAATTTTATGCATATATGAAAATCTATAAACATAGCCCCCAGGTAAACATTCTTCCAACAGGATTCTGAAATAGTGTCTAAGCGAACTCAATAAACAGGAACATAGCAATAGAGCTAAAAATCAAAATACACCCACAAAGCTCTGATCTAGCTGCAAATTACCAACCCAAGGCACTGTCAAAAATTTCACTTATCAAATACTATGTGGGGATTAACAGTGACATGTTAATCACCCATCTGAGACTCCACAAAGTGGAACAAGAACGAAGCAGAAGATGCTCAGTTTTCCACTATACTGATTGCCTAAGGAACAAAGTTGGGCAACAGGAAATGATAAGAAAGGGAAATGGGAAATGAGAGGCAGCAGCCACACAACTGTTCCATGCCTAACACTTGGTACAAGAGTCAGCAAAGGAAAAATGTACTTATATATACAAAAAAAAAAACCCAACCTATTGCCGTCAAGTCAATTCCGACTCACAGCAACCCTACAGGATGGAGTAGAACTGCCCCCTAGGGTTTCCAAGGAGCAGCTAGTGGATATGAACTGCAGACTTTTCAGTTAGCAGCTGTAGTTTTAACCACTGCACCACCAGGGCTCCATTTTTATATACATGAGCCCATGATCCAAACCCAGAAAACACTAAAAATATGGGACAGCCCTAACAAGAACTTCTCTCTTACTCTTCCCTATAGTCTATTTTCTCACCCTAGATTAATTTACCTTTCATAAAACCAAAATATAAAAACTAGCAAATGAGTATTCCATCCAGTCCAGTTCTCTTATTAATTTTAGAACTGAAAGCTTTCTTTCAAAACTAGAACTACACTACAAATATTCAGGGATGTAGCCCTAAACATTCCTAACTTTCTGTAATGTTATCTTCATAGAAAAAGGTGTTTAAATGGGCATATCCCAAACTGTGTTCCACCTGAAATTATTATCCCATAAATAAAGGGGATACTTGACCAAATAAAAGTGAGGGTAACTATAGAGTGAATAAATTCGATCAGGTTTATTTACTGCAGGACTTTAAAACCATTAATGTACAAATAAGTAATACAAATCTTCCAGATGTAGATTTGGGGATGAAGCATGTAGCAATTCTCAAATTAATATAACTCTATTAATATCTCAGATATTCTGTGGAAGATTATTTGGAAAAACACTAATCTTTCTGCCCTATGAACTTCCTTTTAGTTTTAGTATGAATAATCATTTCAGGGTAACTAGGTACATGGCTTAGGAACTCCATTTCAATCACTTGGGGATATATTTGAGGAAATTCAAAGATCATATGCTAAGCACCAAAAAGAAAAATTGATCATAACCACTAGCACTAGGTAAATGTAGAATCAAATTATTTTCAATGGTCTAAGAGACTGCAGGCCACATCAGCAGGAATCAAAATTTAGAAAGTAAATAAATGGATATTGACCACACTAAGCTGGTATAATTAAAAATTCAGAAATAATCACTAAATCTTATAGTCTGAAATGTGATCTTCTAATGTTTAACACAACTTGTTGGTACCCTATACCTAAACTGTACCTTAATTGGTTTCCAGAATTATATCAAAGAGGCAAAACTAAGACTTTGACAGTTTTTTGGTAGGTCAAATAATATTTAATGTTATTTTATTAATGGTAAGGCATCACATTATTATAAGCAATAAGGATAAACCTACAGGTTCAAACTGATTAACTTCCAAACAAATGTGTGATAAAAGAAAAGGCATGTGTCCTTAGTTATCATATACTTACCACATTGTGCACAAATTGGTAACTTCTGAAGAGAATTACAAAAATAGCAAAATGCTCTATTCTTCTGCCTCCTTGTCATGTAAAATAAAAAAAAAAAAATACAGTCAATATTAGATAAAAAGTCAGAAGGCCAGTTGTATTACCACACATAGATAGAAAAAAGAAAAAATTAATTTACCTCTGACACTTGTCACATTCCTATAAAATGCAAAGACATAACATTAATTTTTCTACTGGCTGAAGATTGAGAATGTACTTGCATTATTAAAAAATATACTGTTTTTTATGGTAAAATATAAGTGACACTCCCCCAAAGCCTCTAATTCCACCCATGTACGCAAGCATCAGCACACACTTACGTCACTATTGGCTGACGATTTCCCAAATATGTCTTGTACTCTCTCTTCTCCATGCCTTTACTTATTATAATACATTTTCCTAAAAGGTCCCTCCTCTCAATCTCTACCTGTTGGAAGTTCAGCTAATAATCCCACCTCCTCTGTGAACTGCATCCCCCATACACACTCAATACATTCAACTTTACCAGCCCTTAGACCTAATAAATACACTGTACCTTTACTGTAGCGCTTAATACATTGTACTTTTAACACTGACCAAAGTCTAGCGCTCTTCATATGTGCTTATGTACGTGAATCTCATTACTGCTTTGTCTGCCCAGCATCTCTCTTCTTTGAAAATGACCCTGATGCACAGAAGGCAGTCCCCACTGCCTTGTCTGGGCTGTATAATCCTACCTCTCCCTCCTACCCCTCATCCCTTGAAAATGTTAGTCCTGGAATGGGCACCTGCCCAAGCCCAGACTATCAGAGTTCTTCTCCTCTCTGAGGGAAACAGTATGCAATGGGAGACATGCAGCTACCAGTGGTTACGAACCAAACAAATGGAGAAAGACAAGCTGCAAATGGAACCAGTAAGAAAAAACAAAAGCAAGAAACAGAACTGCAAGTTGTCCCTGAGTCCAAGCTACATCCTTGCCCTTCCCAATTGCACAAATCATTCCATTATCTGTTTAATATCTCAGTTTTTTCCCTAAGGTTATTTGAGTTGGATTTCTGTCACTTAGAAACAAACAAGTCCTAACTAATACACAACTGAGCTGTGAGCTCATACAGGGCAGAGACTGTGTCTTCATCTGTGTATCCCCCACACTGCCTGGGATAGTACCTGGCACACAGTCAGTGCACAATAAACATTTGCTGAATTAAGTCACATTAAACATTTCATATGTGTTCAATGAAACAAATAAAAGAAATAAACAACAGTGGGAATAGAAAAAGTAGAGAAGCAGAAATAGGGAGACATGGGTTAACTCCGAGAAAGTCAAGAAAGGAAAGAGGTAATGATGATGGTATTTTTTGCTTTTTCACAACTTTGACCAATCAAAGAAACCCTGAAATTATCAGGACTAAACCACTCAGTACAGGGAGAGAAGATGGTTGAACAGGAAGCCAAAAGAAATGTCAAGAAATGTGGAAAGCTCAGAAAGAGAAATCAAATGAGTTGTCAACTGCTAAGAGAAAATGATGGAAAGGCTCCAACTAATAGGACAAATCAAGTTAAGGCAAATAAGGTGAGAGAAGCTGGAAAACGCCGCCCGTTTTCTATTTACGTATCTTGTTCAACATCTATTTATCACCAATAGTATTCAAGGTAATATGCTAGATTTTATAAATAATACAATATCTCACAAAAATCACTGCTGCTAAGTATTAGTGAAAACTTAGGCATGCTTCTAAAACAGATTTCATATTCAACAGCAAAATACATGTGGTAACACTACATTTGTTGATATTTTATTGAGGTGTTTATAACTACTATACAATTTTTCAACTATCAGCTGGTATCAAATAAAAGCTGTTACCATTGAAGCATTACATGGGTGTTTAGCTAAATCTATGGTACTTCTTGATGCTCTTAGCTGTTTTTCACGTTCCCGACGGTTCTCAGCCTTCTTCCTCGCGCCAGTCTTCTTTTTAGGCATTTTGTCGTCTTACTACACAAAAGAACAGAGGAGACAGACTTGCCTAGTGACCTTTACTATTTTAAATTAACTAAGAAATAGTAAAACAAAGTATTCTTATTCTCGTTAAATTGTAAACTCAACCCTATCAATCTGACAGTTACGCACATGTTTTAAACCTTTATGAAGCATTAAGCACACATTATCCCAAATAAAGTAGATGACTTTTAAAACAAGGCACTTGTCAAGTCTACCAAACAATTCTAAAGATGGACAAACACCAAAACATTTATCTTAAAAGCCAAAATAACTGTTTTGGTCCCCCCCACCCTACCCATTTGAGAAAAAAAATCTCTCTAATATTAAGTATTTTTTTAAAAAATTAGTCAGCACCAAGTTAAAGAAAAATCTTTATTAGGCATATATCATTCAAGAGAAATACATGAAAAGTGCACTACTCAACCAGTTTACATCACTTTTTTGTGCTATTCAGATGACAGGTAGGCTGCCAAGGCTTGAAGTATAACAAGTCTGATTTTTCCTACATAACATCTAAATAAAACATTTAATTAAAAAAAAAAAAGTTGCCGTGTAGTCAATTCTGACTCATAGCGACCCTACAGGACAGAGTAGAACTGCCCCATAGGGTTTCCAAGGCTGTAATCTTTACGGAAGCAGACTGCCACATCTTTCTCCCGCAGAGAGGCTGGTGGGTTGAACTGCCGACTTTTCGGTTAGCAGCAAAGGCTTTTAACCACTGCTCCACCAGGGCTCCTTCAAACATTTAATAGTCAAGTCAAATGACAACATTAACTACAGTATTAAGTTACTTTGACTCTTTGAAAGCTCCTCTTCTCTCTACATGCAGTGAGCCATACAATTTTAACAGGGTTCAAACTGATGTTTAAGAGTACGTGTTTATAACATATATCAAAAGACTTTCAAACCTGCTTCCATCATTTAGTTCAAAGAACTACTACACTTAGAAAAATGAGATTTTTACTAAGTAACATTTTTATATGGCTTTTCATCCAATCTAAAGACTTCAAGTTCCGTAAGGATCCCAGCACCGTGTCTCTTAACATTTACATCCCAGCCATGTTTGGCTGTATTAAGCACTCGTGAAGAAATACATGAATAAATGAGTCTATATGCTTGCCTTTAAACATTAAATCTCAAAATTCTTAATATTCTTCAAATATATATGTCTTTTTAAATTATGATTCTCAAAAAGCAACTGTAGAAATTCCTAAAACTACAGATTTAGATTTCTAGGCCCTACCCCTAAAGAAGAAACCAAACCCACTGTTGTCGAGTCAATTCAGACTCATAGCGACCCTACAGGAGGGAGGAGAACTGTCCCATAGAGTTTCCAAGGCTGTACATCTTCACCGAAGCAGACTGCCACATCTTTCTCCCGCTGAGTAACCGGTGGGTTCCAATCGCCAAACTTTCAGTTAGCAGCCGAACACTTTAACCACTGCCGCCACCAGAGCTCCTCGGGCCCTACCCAAGATCTACAAATTCTAAACCTCCTAGACAGGGGGCTCAAGCTTCAGTGGTGACTACGCAAAACTCCCTGAAGATAAAAGAAAATATTTATCCAAAGAAATCAAAGCGTGTCCATGATACATGGGTGAGAGTCTTAAGAAAGCAAACCTCGAAGAAATCTGGATTCCTCGTTCAGAACGGCATATTATATCAAAATCACGCATCAACTTGTACCTGAAACAATACTAAGATCACTAAATTTATAGTTTTCCTACTTTCTGGGTTCCACTCTTATGTTACACTGTCCAATCAAAAATCATGTGGTAGGCAGCCTTGTGGCAGCTCAAAAATATGGACAGAACAGGCCAGGAGGATATTTGGTGGGTGGTTACTTAAGTGACGTCCAAACCCACTAGGCACTTAAAATGGCAAAATCTACAAGGTGATAAAACTGTGTACTGCCTTGGTCAAAAGAACTCAGAAAATAATCACGTATGAATTTTAGACACCAGAAGTGTCTTCTGAATCCACTGAGAATACTAAGCATCAATTTATTTTCTCCAATTTGTTGTGGAAACTTAGAGTGAATCCCTTTCTCAGCCTCATAAGGGTTTAAGTCCTTCTCCAGCAAAGCTCTGATAACCTCTGGATATGGCCCATGTCACCAAATAAGGAAACGGTACAGGGTCACTGAGGCTTTAGAGGCAAAGCCTGGAGTCAGGGGACCTAGCGGGGTAAAGGGACATGCAGAGGAGACACCGTGAAGGCTCCACGCGGCTCGGGGAACCGGCACCCGTCACCGCCCGCCGGGCATCCTACCTCGCGCGTGCTCCGGGCCGACCTCGCTCACCCTCGCGGGAGGCCGCCTCACTCCAGGCGCCAAGGGGCAGGGAAAAGTGTGGGATCGCCCCGCGGCAGCAGTAAATCCAGGCAGTGGGCCAGGACTCTGCAGAAAAATCCACTAAAAATCTAGGAAAGCGAACTGACGCGACTGCGGACACTAGGAGCAGGACCGGATGTCCCTTTACGTCAGCGACGACCTTACAGCAGCACGTCCACAGGAAGGGACCCGCCCACCGCCGTTCGCCCCGCCCCGGTCCACCGCCCACTCCTGCTGGAGGCGGGGCTCCCGGTTATGGGCAGATGAGCTGCAAGAAGATGCCAGAGAGAAGAGGGAAAATGGGAAACAAAAGGGGGAAAGGAGCCAGGAAGGTCCCTTTATTATGTCTTCAGAAAGGTCCCTTAATTATGTCTTCAGAAAAAGGAGAAATCTAAGAGGAAAAGAAAAACATAGAAAAAAGGAAAATGGCCTCACAAACTTGGACGTGGATCAGCTGACTCCAATAGCTGTTTACATTGTTGCCTAATTCTTTTGTAAACTTTTCAGCTACCTGCATCTTCCGTGCCTTACATCCCGCCTTTTCTTGGTTGCTGCACAAGCAGTGCCTTCAGGTGCCTGATGAAGTTCTGTACTACCCTCGTCTGTGCCTTCCAAAATTCCATTCCATTGTGAACAAATTCCCCACATTCTGAACCTCTACTGTGTGTTCCATCTGTCCTTAATGGATATCTGTGTATCCTTATGGCTTGCTTTAAACTTCTCTTAAGTAAAGGTTGCTTGTTTTACCACCCTTTCTTTGTCTCAAGGTTAGGATGTGGAGTCAGTCCCCCTGTTTCTTAGTACTACATCCAGATAATTACTTCTTTATATATGGCCATGCCAACTTTCATCCTTCATTATTGCTATTTTATACTCATGCTTATTAATGCAAAACTTTGGAACCTGACTTCTAACTTCTGCCATCATCTTGAGTCACATTAACATCTCAATAAAAGACCCATTGTCTCAGGTCCTTGATTTCTTCATCTCCGGCAGCTATCCCCTCCCTACCCCACCTCAGACACCCACTATCATGAACATACCATTAGCCTTGTCGTCAGATGGAACTGCCCTACCACTGAAATCCAAAATTCAAACATCTAACTACCCAACCTCCTATCTTGCCAATTCTCTCACTCAATTTTTCCTCCTAATGGGGACTTCAAATCTCTTGATCCCTCTATTTTCTATCAATCATCACTCCGCTTTTTCCTCTCCTTTTTAACCCCAGTTTATAAAACACAGTTCATCACTTCAACCATAATTTGCTATGTTGTCTTTCTGATCAAACCAACTTGAAAATTCTTGATTGTTTTAATTATGCAGCTTACCTTTTCCTTCCTACACTGGACTTCTGAATATTGTTAAGGAAAAAGCAAACACACACACACACACAATCATGATTCCACTCTAAATCCATGATTACCAGCCTCAACAGAACTCTCAAAATTGCTTTTCAATCCTTCTATGTTATCCTAATCAGCTCTATCATTCTCATTCTCCACAATGGCTATATCGAATCTTCTCCTTTTCCTCAACCCTCCCTCCATCAATTTCAGCAGGTATTATCACCTCCCATTTTACAGAGAAAACAGAATATCATTAACAACTAACACACATACAGCACTTTGAGCTCCTGACATTCTCAGAACTTTACATGAGTAGTATTGACTCTTAATTTTATATATGAAGAAACTCCAGGGCAGAGAGACTATGCAACTTGTCCCAAGATTACATAGCTAGTTAGGCTTGTGGTATCTTCTAATGCAGTAGTTCTCAAACTTTTTGGTCTCAGGACCTCTTTAAAACTCTTGAAACATTGTGGACCCCAAGAGCTTTAGTTCATGTGGATTATATCTATTGATATTTACCATATAAGCAACCAAAACTGGGGAAATTTTAAAATACATATTTATTTAATCGTTAAAAATAATAAACCTATTGTATTTTAATATAAGTAACACAAGTTTTATGAAAAATAACTATTTTTCCAAACAAAAACAGAAGAGGGGTACTGTTTTACAGCTTTGCCAATCTCTCTAATGTAAAGCTTAATAGAACGCACTGGATTCTTATGTCTGCCATTTTCCACTGAGAAATGTTCGATGTTCCCCCTTTTCCCAGGTAAATTGCAAAGGATACTCTGCAGAAGGACTGGGAATCATTTTTGTGTGCACTTTTTATGATGTTTCAGGGCCTTCCTCCTGGGAATTTGTCCTTTTCTCTGTCAATTGGTTCCAGACCTAAAACTTGGCTCAGATCTTGAAGCCGGTCAACTCATTATTGAGTGACTCATTATTAAAATATTTCTCTCAGCCTCCTAATCATGTTCACTATTGATTTCTTTTGATTGTACAGATTGAACCCTTGTTTGTTGCCCAACCATTTTGCTCCTAGGGACACCATATTCTATTATCTGTTTCCTAATCTTCTGAGGGCAGTCGCCCTTTCAGAAACCCTAGTGGCATAGTGGTTAAGTGCTACAACTGCTAACCAAAAGGTTGGCAGTTCAAATCCACCAGGCGCTCCTTAGAAACTGTATGAGGCAGTTCTACTTTGTCCTGTATGGTCACTATAAGTCGGAATCAACTGGACGACAAAGAGGGGGAGTCTTCTGAGGGTCAGACCCCTCCCTTGCTTTCACTCTGCTCTTGCACTCATTCCAGTAATTGTGCCAGATTATGTTGTAACCTAACCTTAAGTTGACCCAGTAGCCAGGAGGAAAGATGGAGTCAGTGCCCTTGCTCCCAGGAAAATCAAGGGGCAGATTCTGAAGGGATCATAGGTTGTTCTATAAGGGGGAAGCCCCTCCATCATTCTCCAGAAAGAGGGAAGCACTAGCCATTAACTGGGGATATGAAACTACATACAGATTCAAAAGAGAATCTGGGTATTCAGGATTTTTGAGTGCTGCAACCCAGATGTCCCCAGCCCATTGCATCAGGACCTGTTTCTTTCCTGTCCAGCACCTTTGCCTTAGCATAGCAAACCTAGCTGGGTTGATTGGTTAATCTTCTTTGGATCTCCACACTTAGGATTAAGTGCTGGGCCTGTTCCTCAGCTTTTTCTGTCCTCCCTATGCAGGAGATAAAATCCTCTTTATTTGCTACCAAAGAGGCCTTTTGGATTTTACTCTCAGATTTTAATAGCCAATTAGCCACTCTCAGCTTTTTGCTATGCTTTTCTAAAGTATCAAGATTGCTTAGCAACAGCCTCTCAATCCCACTATCCTTAAGACTACTCTTTCCCTCATATTTCTCACATGCCTGCTACATTGCACCCACTAGTATATTACCTTCCATCAGGATACCATCCCAGTTCACTGCTGATAAAAGTATTAACTATTTCATTGTTACCTTGTGCCAGGGTCTATCTATGCTCCACCCATCACCAATGAGGGAGGGTCCTCACTGACAGTCAGGTGTTTGGTGGTTCTACTCAAAAATTCCATCTTAGCTTCTACTATCTTGAACCCCTCCTGGCACCAACTGTCTTGGGTTAGATTCCCCAGGAAGCATACTCTGAGTCAGAGATGAGTACAGGAAATTTACTAGGGAATGCTTTGGGGAACATCACCTGTGGAAAGGAAGGTAGCAGGATTGGGCAGAAAGAGGGGTTAGGCTGCAATGCAGCCTCAGTGAAGCCCTCACCTTTGAATCTGGGGTGTTCCTTCAGAGTTGTCTGAAATTAGGGTAAGTGGGCTGGGCCTTTATACACCTGTGACATTCAGTCATTGGATGTGGGCTGCCAAGGAAAGGGGGTGTTACCTTGGGATAGACAGAAGGGGCCTGACAGCTGAAGCCTGTCAGCTTGCCATACTTTCAGCAACTTAGAGAATGAGTCCTTCCTTTCTGGAGAGTGATCTGGTAGTATCTCCCACTGTTCACTACAAGAGTGATTGCAAAATAAATCATCATGTATACAAAGCAAACCTTTAGCAAAAGAAAGTTTGAAGCAGACATTAAGGCAAGAAGCCTTATTTAGGCTTCTTGGACATTTCATATAGCAGAAGTGTCAATCCTACAGGAAGATATGTTGTTGATGTTATTGTTACTAGCTGCTGTTGTGTGGTCCCTTGCTTGACCCATGGTGACCCCATTGATATTGAGATCTGACCGTAGTGATCGATAGGGTTTTCATTGGCTGAGTTTCTTGAAGTAGATTGCCAGGCCTTTTTTCCTAGTCAGTCTTAGTCTGGAAGCTCTGCTAAAACCTGTTCAGCATCATAGCAACACAGAAACCACAACAGGCAGATGGGTGGTGGCTGCATGTGAGGTGCATTAGCCAGAAACCAAACCCAGATCTCTCGCATGGAAGGCGAGAATTCTATCACTGAACCACCAATGTCTCCTACAAAGGAATATTAAAAGACAGTAAAAATAAAAAAACCATGGCCAAAAAAAAAAAAAAAATCATCTGACAAAGGCCCTGTACTATTCACAGGTGCTCACTGAAAGAACTCTAAAGGATGTACTTCAGGAAGATGAAAATGGAGTGCATACCTGTATTTACTAAATACATGTATAAGAATGTTCTGTTCATAGCAGCACTATTTGTAGTAGACCTAAAACTAGAAACAACTCAAGTATTACCCAATAAGAAAATGGATAAATGAATCTTCACATATTTACACAGCAAAATATTATACACAGACAAGAATTGACAAACTACAACCTCACATAACAATATGTATGAATCTCACAAAAATAATGGTACATGAAAGAAGCCAGCAACAAAAGAACACTCACTATAATTCCATTTATATAAAGTTCAAAAGAGCCAAAACTAGTTGGGTTAGAAGTCAGGATAGTTATTACCTTTGAGAAAAGGCAATGACTAGCAGATTCCAAGGGAGTTTCTGGAGTACTGGAAATTTCCCTGTATGAGAGTTGTTACATGAGTATGTTAGAGTTGTCAACATTCATCAGTCTATAAATTTAGGATTTATGTAATTTGTGTGTGATATTTTGTAACAAATGTTTTAAAGTACTGCAAATTAAAAATAGTAGCAGAAAATCTATATGAAAAATTTTAAAGTAGCTGTCTATAGCAATTCTTCCCAAACATTTCCTCCCCATGGCATAAATAGAAATAATATTTATAGAACACATAGGAGTAAACTAAAGAGGTTCTGTTTAATGCCAGAGGTGAC